GAGGGTGAGGTCACTGGGGTGCTGGCTAAGGAAGTGATCGCGAGCACTAGCGAGGCGGTCTGGCAGGCGCATGGCGATAAAACAGAGCGTCATGCAAAGGGGGGGGGGGGAGCGCAGTGAGCTAGGCAGCAGTGCTGGCAGTGCGATAGCGGGTCACTAGGGCACGCAGGTGAGTGGCAAAGTCTGCAACGGTAGGGAAGGCTGCAAGGTCTGGGAACAGCATCGGGAAGAGCAAGCGGCCAGCAGAAGCAGACGCGGGAGTGGAATAGCGAGCAATAACGGCGTCTAAGTAGGCTTTGGCCGTCTCAACAGTAGCGAAATGCGAGCGCTCAGACACAGGGAGGGCGTGGCTAATAGCAACCTGAGCGACTGCATCGCGGGAGTCCCAGACCGCACAGGCAAGCGCAGCAGTAGAGAAGGTCTCACAGTCATCAGAGGAGGGGTCAGCCGGGAGGGGAGCAGGTGCGGGGGGGCGGGGGAGCAAGCCATCGACATGGACAACCAAAGACTGGCCATCCTGGCGCTGACCTGTAAGGTGGCGGCGGAGATCGGAGAGCCAGGCGACGAAGTCAATCGCATGGCCCTCGGCGTCCAGCCGGAGCACAAAGTCAGCCATCGTGCAGGGTCAGCGGCACAACTCCACAGCTCCGCAGGGACACAGCGATGCAGGGACACGGCGGCAGCACTATCCAGCACGGTGGCCGCTAGGCGCCCCGGCGCTGGCGAGCAGAGTAGATAGAGCTCGAGGTGGCACGGCAGGCCGAGCAGGCACGAAGAGGGCCGGGCGGGCAGCGGGAGAGGCCAGGCAGACGCGGCGGGGCCAGGCAGGCGCGGCGGGGCTAGGGAGGCGTGGCAGGGCCCGGCGGGCGCGGCGGAGCCAGGCAGGCGCGGCGGGGCCAGGCAGGCGCAGAGGGGCCAAGCAGGCGCGGCGGGCTAGGCAGGCGCAGCGGGCCAGGCAGGCGCGGAGGGGCCAGGCAGGCGCGGCGGGGCCAGGCAGGCGCGGCGGGCCAGACAGGCGCGGCGGGGCCAGGCAGGCGTGGCAGGGCCAGGCAGGCACGGAGGGGCCAGGCAGGCGCAACGGGCCAGGCAGGCCGCGACGGGGCTAGGCTGGCGCGACGGGGCCAGGCAAGGCGCGACGGGGCCTAGCGGGCGCGACGAGGCTAGGCAAGGCGCGATGGGGCCGGAGCGGGCGCGACGGGGCCTGGGAGGCACGACGGGCCCCAGGAGGGGCGCGGCGGGGCTAAGAGGCGCGGCGGGGCCCAGGAGGGGCGCGGCACGACGGGGCCCAGGAGGGGCGCGACGGGGCTAGGAGGCGCGACGTGGCTAGGAGGCGCGACGGGGCCCAGGAGGGGCGCGACGGGGCAAGGAGGCGCGACGGGGCCCAGGAGGGGCACGACGGGGCCAGGCGGGCGCGACGGGGCCAGGCAAGGCGCAACGGGGCCTAGCGGGCGCGACGGGGCCTAGGAGGCACGACGCGGCCCAGGAGGGGCGCGACGGGGCTAGGAGGCGCGGCGGGGCCCAGGAGGGGCGCGACGGGGCTAGGAGGCGCGACGGGGCCCATGAGGGCCACGACGGGACCAGGCGGGCGCGACGGGGCCAGGCAAGGCGCGACGGGGCCTAGCGGGCGCGACGGGGCCTAGGAGGCACGACGGGGCCCAGGAGGGGCGCGATGGGGCTAGGAGGCGCGGCGGGGCCCAAGAGGGGCGCGACGGGGCTAGGAGGCACGACGGGGCCCAGGAGGGCACGGCGAGGTCAGGCCGGCGCGACGGGGCCAGGCAGGGCGCGACGGGGCCTAGCTGGCGCGACGGGGCCTAGGAGTCACGACGGGGCCCAGGAGGGCGCGACGTGGCTAGGAGGCGCGACGGGGCTCTAGAGGGGCGCGACGGGGCTAGGAGGCGCGACGGGGCCCAGGAGGGGCACGATGGGGCCAGGCGGGCGCGACGACGCCATGCAGGGCGCGACGGGGCCTAGCGGGCGCGACGGGGCCTAGGAGGCACGACGGGGCCCAGGAGGGGCGCGACGGGGCTAGGAGGCGCGGCAGGGCCCAGAAGGGGCGCGACGGGGCTAGGAGGCGCGACGGGGCTAGGAGGCGAGACAAGGCCCAGGGGGGATGCGGCGGGGCCTAGCTAGGGTACGGGCGGAAGCGGTTGGTGGGGGATTCTAACCTACGCGTGATACCATGAACTGAATGATCAACTAGAGGGAGAAACCTAGAACAAATACTAGTTGGTTGTACTCACTAGAAACATACCCCAGTCTAGCCTATAACTTCTACAAAGCTAATATGTATAAATTGACACATGGGACATCTAATGAAAATAGAACGACATGCAGTCAGGAATGCGTGGAATTGGGAAAACATACAAATGGAAATGCATGGCTATTACTGCAAGTCAACTGTAGATCCCCAAACCCCCTCTCTTGCATTGGACTCCTTGGCACTTGAGTCAAGCTTGCAACGGCTGGTGTCCCGACGGACTGATGCAGCAACCTCTGCTCGTCCATCTGTAACGCGCCCCCCTTAGACTTGTACGATCTCTGCAGCAGGTAGAGAAGACAAGCTGCATTCGCCAACCAATATGCGTGCCTCCATCACTCCCTTCTGCTTCCCCTTCCGTTGCACTAGCGTGTGCAACCACTCGCAGTACAGCAGCGTCCGCGCCAGAAACCGCACCAGGAGCAGAGAAAGGGTCTTGAGACTCAATTGCAGCACACTTGGTTTGGACGATCTTGTCGAAAACGTCGGTGGTCTCGGCTTCAAAGGAGCGCCAGAGCACGAGCGCGCGGTAGATTAGGCATGCTGCAACAGGGCGGTTGTTGTCGAAACCCAGATCCGTCTGCAGCAGTTGCAGCAGCTCCAGCACTGACTCTAAATTCATCTCGAAGTCGAGGGACTAAAAGGCAGGACAAAGGAAGGGCGGGGAAAAAAAATGTGGAAGGGAAAAGGAAGGAGACTGAGAATGGATTGGAGGGCTGTGGAGGTTAAGATATCGGGCAGAATAACCAAAAAAGGCCAAGCCCACGCACAGCTGTCGCCTCCTTACTTCAGTCTCCGCGGTAGCAGCAGGGATGACACGGATATGTCGAGGAGTGGTTGGAGTGCGGGCGATAGCAGAACTATCGAGATTGCCATTTGACGACGCCGTGTGATTAGTATCCCATCACGAGAGAGCTGTAATTGCATCTAGCGATTCCTCCAACGTCAGTCTGATCAACAGCTTCAGCGCATCCAAACGCTCCACGAAATCCAGTCACCGAAATAAAGCAATTAGTTCTTCGCGAGACTCCACCTCGTACAACCGATAACACTTCAAACTGGCCTTCAAACTGAAACTCCATCACCGAGAGTTGAAGGATTTACCTGGACGGGTCCGTGGGAGCGTCCGTCCCTCAAGTGAGCGACTAGCGATCTGATTTGGGACGTGAAGGCGTCAGCAACACTCGCTGGGGTCTAGGGGAGTGTCTGCGAAGGAAATGCTCTCTTGGGCGATCTGAGCAGCCAATGGGATCTTCAAAGGGCCAAGTTTCATTCTGGCCACTCCAAGTGCATGCAGAGTCTGGTGGATAGTGTCCTCTGCATGGAGGATCATGATGGGTCACGCGTAGTTATCTAGGAAGAGCGGGTGAGAAGGACGAGGGGGTGAAAATGCTGACAAACAGGGAGCTGCGATGGTCGAGAGAGGAAAGGCTGGGCACCTAGGGTCAGAGCTGTGCGGTTCGTGCCGAGCAAAATGAAGGTTTGGTTGACTGGATTGCCAATTTCGAGATCGAGCAGGTGACAAGGAGATCCCAAGGCGATAACGCGTTAAAAGCAGTTGCCGTTGCACATAGTGTTCTGAGTTTAAAAAACGTATGAGCATGATAAGTTCAAACTTAGAGGGTGGAAGGCATGTGGTGTTATGAATTAATCAGAGTAATAACAGGTAGTGTAATAAAAGAGTCGTGATTCAAGAGTTGTCGATACAAATGAGGACCTAGGCATTTATAGGCACAACAGGGCTAGCCGAGAACCTCGCGAACAGGTTAGGGCGATTCGGTTGGCGAAAGCCACGGAGGCGCCGCGCATTAGGTTTGGGTTTACGAAATGGTTCGGGACTGAGGAAAATGGCCGGGCCTGGTCTTCCGAGGGTCGAGGGCGTACGCGCTGTAGTTGAGCCCAGTAAGGAAAAGGAATTTTCCTTACACCACCCCCCCTTCCGGGATGAGACTACCCACATCCGGGACACGTCGTCGGTGTAAATAGTCCTTGACAACGTTGTGTTCACCGAGCATAGCTGCGGGGACCCAGAGGTCGTCATCAGTCGTGCGATCGACCCATCGTACAAGGAAATCAACGGCTGCTGTATCGCGAGAACCTCGTACGCGATGAGCGAGAATTTTCGATGGCTCGATCATCGGCTCGGGTACTGGGTTGACCGTAGGATTGATATGTTGACAGTCGAGATCAGTTGTATTCGGGACGAACGGTCGCAGGAGACTGGCGTGGAATGAATCGTGAATGCGCCAGTCGGCCGGTAGTTGCAGCTGGGCGGTGACGGGAGTCACCATGCGGATTATGCGGAATGGGCCGCAAAATCTTGGTCATAGTTTATTTGGGAGGGGAATCCCCAAATTTCGAGTGTCGAGCAGGACCAATTGCCCAGGGGCAAGGTTTAAGTCACGGCATCATCGGTCAGCTTGCTGCTTACCCTGTTGGTTGGCTTTGAGAATGGCATCAGTGGCTTTTTGCTGAGACTGTCGGAGGTTTTCGACGAACTGCTGCGATCTGGGTGCCGGATTTTCGATCGGTGGCGATAGGGGGGTTGTCGGGTCTATCCTGTAATTAAGGAAGAACGGGGACTGAGTATTCGTGGCTGATGGGGCGTTGTTGTACGCAAACTCGATCAGTGGAAGAGAATCTTCCCACTGGGCCGGGTCTGTGCACGTTGTACAAATCAGCTGCTCCATCGTCTGATTGGTGCGCTCAGTCTGGCCGTCCGATTGCGGGTGGTATGCCGTGGACAGATGCAGACGTGTGCCGTACTACTGCCAGGTTTTTGTCCAGAAATTGGACGTGAACCGAGGGTCGCGATCGCTGATGATTGCCGAAGGGATGCCGTGTAGTCGCACGATGTTCGTGAGAAACAGCTTCGCTGTCTGCTCGGCAGTGATTGTCGTCTTGCAGGCGGCGAAGTGTGCCATTTTGGTCAAACGGTCAACGACGACGAGAATCGCGTCATTACCGCTTGGACCAGCTGGTAGGCCAGTGACGAAATCCATCGTCACTTGTTGCCAGGGTCGGCAGGGTGGCTCGAGCGGCTGCAGTAATCCCGCAGGTCGAAGTCGTGACGACTTCATGCGTTGACACGTGGCGCAGGAGGTGACGTACTGCTGCACGTCCGTCGGCAAATCGGGCCAGTAATAATAACGGCTCAGTAATTTGGCAGTTTTGTCGATGCCGTAGTGACCCGAGAAATTCGAGTCGTGTGCCTTCTGTATCAGTAGGTCGCGTAGGGTACGGTAAGCGGGAACCCAAATCCGATTGGTACCGGATTTTAGGTGATAAGCCCCCTGCTTGACTGTCAGTTGGGGATGACTGTTAGTCGTGAAGAATGGGTTGGTACTGTATCCGTGGGTAAATAGTCCAGTTAGCAGCGGATTGGTTTGGGTGATTAGGACAGCGGCGGTATGGACTGAAGGGCGGGTCAGTGCGTCGGCGATGTTGCTGGCCCCTCGTTTGTAGGTGACTCTGTAGTGGAAATTCGACTCGAGATAATCGAGCCAGCGAATCTGTCGGGGGTTGAGTGTCGGTTGGGCGCGGATGAACTGTAGCGATTTGTGGTCTGTTCGGACTGTCACATCAGCGCCCGTCAGGTAGCAGCGCCAAACCTTGAATGCGTGAACGATGGCGAGTAACTCCTTGTCGTGGACGGGATAATTTTGCTCGGCCGGATTCAGCTTTCGTGACTCGTAGGCGATGGGTTGAAGGCCTGCGCCGAAGTCCTGTAACAGTACTGCGCCAACAGCCAGGTCGCTAGCGTCGGTGATGAGTTCGAACGGACGGTGAGGATCTGCAACGCAAAGAACCGGAGGTGTTGTTAGGAAAAGTCTGAGTTGGTCGAACGCAGCCTGCTGCTCTCCCCCCCACTCATAAAACTTGCCTTTCTGCAGAAGATCCGTGAGAGGGGAAGTTACCCCCGCCATGTTCGGGATGAATCGGCGAACGTAATTCACAAACCCCAGGAAACTTTGAAGTTCGCGGAGATTAGCCAGCAGCTTCCAGTCTTGTATGGTCGCGAATTTTTTCGGGTCGATTTTAACACCGTCGATGGAAATAACGTGTCCCAAAAACTCCAGTTCTTGTTTCAGAAACTCGCACTTAGAACCCTTGGTGATGAGTCGCTGCTGCTGCAGGAGAGCGAAGACTGCTTCCAAATCCCTCAAATGTGCTTCCCGGGTAGTGCTGTATATCAGGATGTCGTCGAGGTACACAATAGCGCATTTATCCAGCAGCGGCCGAAAAAATTCGTTCATGGTTAACTGGAATGTTGAAGGCGCGTTGGTTAAGCCAAAGGCATGACCGTGTACTCGTTACTCCCGTATCGGGTTCGGAAGGCTGTCTTGTAGCAGTCAGCTTCGTTGACACGGATCTGGTGGTAACCGCCTCGCAGGTCAATTTTCGAAAAGAACTTTGCCCCACGAAGTTGGTCGATGAGTTCGTTGGCACGCGGAATAGGATAGCGAGACTTGATGGTACCCCCGGTTCAAGGCGTGGTAGTCAATGCACATTCGTAGACCGCCATCTTTCTTCGGGGTGAACAGTATCGGAGTTGCGAACGGTGAAGTACTATGGCGAACAAAACCTTCTCGAGCAGGTAATCCAGCTGGCGTCGAAGTTCATCCAGCTCTGGTTGAGTCAGCCTCCACTGTGTCCGAACCGTCGGTTGCGCGCCGGGCTCCAACTGGATTTTGTGGTCGTGGTCTCGCTCGGGTGGCAATCCTGGCGGTAGGTCGTCCAGAAAGATGTCGGCATGCTTCGGATCAATGTCGCCAAGTCGCCGGGGACTGCCGCGCAGAGTTTGTCGATGTCGCCCTATGCGCTGACAGCCGTGGATGCGATC